CTACTTGAGAAAGTGTACATGACACAACCTGAAGGTTTTGTGTGTCCAGAGGGCTTTGGAAAGGTGTGCAAGTTTTAAAGATCCATTTATGGATTGAAGCAAGCATCTCGGAGCTGGAATCAACGTTTTGGTAAAGTAATCAAAGAGTTTGGATTCATTCAAAACATTAATGAACCTTGTGTTTATAAAAGAGTTAATGGTAGCACAGTTATATTTCTAGTGCTATATATAAATGATATCCTACTCATTGAAAATGATATTCCTATCTTGCAGAATGTCAAGTCTTGGTTAGGAAAATCTTTCTCTATGAAGGACTTAGGTAAAGCCACTTACATCCTTGGGATTCAGATTTATAGAGATAGATCCAAAAGGCTAATAGGCCTAAGTCAAAGCACATACATAGACAAGGTACTACATAAGTTCAGTATGCAAGATTCAAAAAGGGGTTTCATCCCATCTCTTATGGCATTCATCTCAGTAAAGACCAGTGTCCTAGTACACAAAATCAGCGAGAGCACATGAGTAAGGTTCCATATGCCTCGATAATTGAATCTATCATGTATGCCATGCTGTGCACTCGACCGTATGTTTCATTTGCCTTAAGTATGACTAGCAGATAGCAAGCAGATCCAAGGGAGGATCATTGGACTTCTATCAAGAATTTCCTAATGTCTATCATGTATGCTATGATGTGCACTCGACCGGATGTTTCATTTGCCTTAAGTATGACTAACAGATACCAAGCAAATCCAAGAAAGGATCATTGGACTGCTATCAAGAATATCCTAAAGAACTTAAAAAGGATTAAGGATTTATTCTTAGTACATGGCAAATTGGATGACGAGCTAATTGTTACAAGTTACACAAATGCAAGCTTCCAAACTGACCAGGATGACCTTAAATCACAATTAGAATGTGTTTACCTTAAACGGTGGGGTAGTGAGCTGGAAGAGCTCAAAGTAGAGCACAATAGTTGATTTTGCAACAGAAGATGAGTATATAGCATCACCAGATGCAGCTAAGGAAGTCGTTTGGATTAGGAAGTTCATTGCCAAACTAGAAGTAGTGCCTAACATCTCAAATCCAATAAACTTGTTATGTGACTAGCGGTGCAATTGCACAAAGCAAGGAGCCAGGTCACACCAAAAGATCAGGCATATACTCAGGCATTTCCACCTTATCAGAGAGATTAATAATAGAGGTGATATAAAAATATGCAAAGTAATAGAAGACAATGTTGTTGATCCTCTTACAAAGCCTCTTGCATAGGTGGAACATAAGCATCATGTCAGGACAATGGGGATTAGACAAATTAATGATTGTATCTAATACAAGTGGGAGGATGTTGGAAATTGTGCCCTAAGGCCAATCATTGTATTATGCACATTGTTATTTAATGAATTTCTCTTTTATTATCATAATAATTGCATGTTCAATATGATATCTGTATCCCTGGACAAACTATAGTGATTGTCCTAAATGTCCCTAGTCGATCATCTTTATTGGATCATAGATGAAATAAGACTAGTATGACTTTGATTAATTAAAGAGATACAAATTAAAGTCATAAGCACTTGAAAGAGTACAAGAGGCTGGATCGACCCGCTATGAGAAAGCTGCATGGTATAAATCATAAGCTTATCTCATATGTAACTATATCACTAAGCCCTTTGACCTGAGATTATCATGAATTCCTACATGATGACCATTAAACTTTAACCTAATCAAAAGTCACCTTTGACTGAGTGAATAAAGGCTATGATCAGGTATAGTGATATTCATACAAATTGAGCACTAAGAAAACTATCCTACGAGCTAAACCTAACCTCCTCAACAATGGTGCCAAATTTTGATAAGAATTGTTGCTCAACCCTCAAAATTAACCAAAAGTAACCGTAATGTAATATAAATCCAACCCTAGGTCTTCTCACAAACAGGAGGTTTTAACTACCTAGGCTAGAAAACTTAGTGAATAGATTAACCATTAAATGAGATTGTTAACTAATTACCTAATGAAATTAAATGCAAACTAAACCTAAGAGTATGGTGGTGGCTTTCCTATAAAGGTAGGAACCCTAGAGTGTTGTTAATGGAAGAATCTTAGTCTCTAATTGATTATGAAAGCTCACTCAACCTTTCTTCCTTAACTAGAAAAAGTGTTTATTTAAGACAACTATCTCAAATAACCTAATTTCACAAATTCAATTCCCTAAGTGCTCATAACAAGCCCTTAAGTTATCTCACTAGCTAAGCGTTGAAATTAACCAAGTGTCTAATTAAATTTCACTCCCCAACAGCCATGGTTCATATGTAACTCAATCACAAAACTATGCAACTCAAGCATTTAATCAAACATTTACCAAACATAACAAATGCTAGGTTAATATAAGACTAAGAATTACTTAAAAAATCACATTGACATGATATTTATCCAAGTGGATGAAATTCTAGCATTTAAAGGGAATGAAAATTAATTCAACAATCATGTTCCAATACAACCAATAATCACAAAAGTCAAATTATACTACAATAAACCATAGTCATAGTATTCTAACGAAATTGAAAGTGGGAGAATTTGCTCTGAATGAATTAAGCTATGAGTCTATATTTTAAAGATTTCTATTGACTCTAAAGGATTGGCTTAAGTTTCTTAACCTTGGATAAATGATAATATGAAATTAAATTGTTGTTTAGTGAAAATCGGATCAAACCCTAGCTTGATTATAGGGTTTTAAGGTGTGACAAGTTGAGATGCCAAGTGTTTTGTTGTGATAGAGTTAAAGGGAGGCTTGAAGGCATTGTGTGAGAAAATTTAATCTTGACAAGCCTATTTATTGAGAATATAAGTGAGAAGTGGGAGAATTGGATGTAGTGGAAAGTTAATAGTGCTTGTATTAATTAAAAATTAACATATAGTACTTGTTGATATAGATTGTGGTGTGAACAAACTTGCCTCAATAGAAGAAAAAATTTAGTACCACGAATAACTTTTTTAGTAACAAAAAGGTTGATGTAACTAAATAATTTGTATTATTTATTACCTTATATAAATTATTCTCAAGTTGTTTTTCTATTATTTGTTAAGTATATATGTATAAATTTTGTAAAAGTTAACTATTTTAGAAAATGAGTAGAGTATTGGTTTGTGAAACTCCATATTTTTGAAGTAAGTAGTAAGATTTGTTATATTTGTTTAAAAAGTGATTTATGCATGGTCAAATGGAGATACGTAGTGAAATGTGGCATATTAGAGGATGGGAAGTCACCCTAGTAGAGTTAGTAAAAATTAAGTCCATATAGCACTGTTGGCACCTTGGCACGCTAGATGCAGCTCATATTTCTCTTTAGTGCTCGAAAATGGGTGCGGTGTTAGAAACTTACTTTCTTTAATACCCAAAAGGGTGCATAGTTAGAGAATATGCTCCTTAGCATCCGTAAAATGTGGTGTTAAAGCAACGACACCATAATTACTTGTAATAGGGAAAACTGCAGTCCAGAAGTGGTTTAGGACACCGTGGTTGAGTAGTCCTACCATTGATGTGAGCTTGGGGACCATACATATGGTTTGATTCCGTGAAATAGCCTACTGGTTCGATTAGGAGTATTGGAAGACTGAATGATTAGTAATCATGCATATAATTTATGGTGATCTTATATGGTGTGTATATCATGCTTATTTTAAAACTTGTTTATAACTTAGCATGTTAATCGATAATGTAGATTAACTTAGTTACTGAAATTTTTATCTCACTTCGTGGTTATCATTTTACATGTTCTGCTGGTGAGTCTAAGCAAGGAAAGGAATTAGGCAAAAATTAGCAGATTTGCTACATCACGAATAGTAATGCTTAATTTTGATTTGAATGGTGTATATAAACTTGTAATATGATATTATATGTTGCCAACTAGAAATGCATATCATTTTAATTGGTTGCACTTGTTTCATACTATATTATATTGTATTTTAACCTAATAAGACATGTGATGTGAATATGTGACGATTTTTGTGGTGATGAATTAAAATACTAATACAAGAGTGCAAGGTATGTTTTATATGTGTAGTGACAATGTATATGTGATGTATTATATGGCAATAAAAGCCAAATAGTGTATATGGTGTTGATTTTACATTTTGGCTATATTGGGTGAAATTAGCATTAAGTGGCTAAATTTTGTGTTTGGTATGTTTTAGTGTGTTTCAATGCTCAATCACGTATATTTTAGTCCATTGGACTTGGTTCAAGCCTCAAAATGGATTAATGACATGAGTTTTGAGTTTTGGATACTTAGATACTTGAAAATTACTTTAAAAATTGACTTTTGCATCCAAATGTCTAAAATTCTCATACGGTATTAAATTGTAACGAAACTTGTACCATTAGTTAACTTATTCAATAAGCTTCGCGTGGGCGCTTGAATCACTCCAATCAGACATCAAATGCGAAAATGGCCCACATTTGAAGTTCATCTCAAAGAGCTATCATTACAGCATTTTATTATCATGGACACGTGCATTGCGGCGCATTGCACACAAGCTACAGCACACAATGCAACAGCTAAATTTCCCTATCTGTGCCACATGTCGCAGCGCATGAACCACGAGCCGTGGCGCATATGCCAAAATACTCAAAAATGATATTTTTGACCCTATGTTGAAGTGTTTTGCTTCTCAAAACTTTTCCATGTTTTTCATACCTTTATAAATCATTAAGTTTGAGCTCAAACTATAAAGTTAAAAATTTTTTATGAGATCCCAAATATTCCACAATTATTTCTAAAAGATATTTATTTTAACCCTTATATATATATAATGTGAACTTAGGAGCAATCATTGCTCCTAATTATGATTGTTTATTGTGATAGTGTGGTAAATTTTGGTAATGTCAAAGTGGACATTACAAACTACACTTGTATATGCACTCTTGAACATGTTTCTATGCACATCACTGATACAGCCATGAAACAAAGAAGGATTTTGAAGAACTTGAGGGTCCAAGTACCTTAGGCATTTTAAAAGCTCTTGGTACTGAGAAGCAACTTGATCCTGATCCTCCAGTTGACACAGATGGTCAATCATCCAAAAAGAAAGGGGGCTTAGTAAATGAAGCTCTAAAAGCTGTTATGGCCATTGCTAATACCTACGGCAATGAGGATTCTGATATAGAAGAGGTGACATCTTGGACTTCTGTTTCACAAAAATCTTCACCCAAATCTCCAGGTGTCCTTACTACAACTCTTTTCCAGAACCTTATAAAGCAGAACTCTCAAGTATTTATGAATCCGAAGCCTTTGACTACCTTACTGGCCTCTGATGATATTGTCAGACTCTCTCCTCAACCCTTTGATGCTAATAAAAAGAGGAAGAACAAGTTAGAGAGTTGAAGAGTAGTTTTGATATGCAAAGTGCAAAAGGAAAAGAAGTTATGGATTCAAGGTCAAAACAGCATAAAGCATTCCCTATGAACAAAAAGAAGAGAAGTGCGAGAAAATTCAAACCCAAAGTTATCAAGGAAGAAGACCCTGTGACTAAGCCTTTATCCTCACCTCCCTCAAAAATTTTTGAGAAACCTTCATTAACTCACCTTGATATCCTCACAGATGACTGGGTGAAAGATTTTATGGCCAGAGTTGATGCAGTAAAGATCAAGAAGGGTCCTATCTTCTCTAAATCCAAAAACACCAATCCTTAGCCTTCAACTGAGCTTATGTTTTAATAGCCTATTTGTCCTTTTTAGTCATAATTGTGTATTGTTCATACTTCATATCAATGTGTTTATTTAGTTCATGACTCAGTCTATTTGTTTGAACCCTAATTTTGATGATTACAAAATAAAAGAAGTTGTGTTTGACAGGTTTAATAATCAAGAAATAATGGTTTGTAAGGAAATTAATAAACTTGGATTCAAATTTCTATATCTTGTATATCTTTCTCCTAGAATCCTTACTCCTAAATACTAGTCTTATACCCAAATAGGTAGAAACACGAAAAATCTTTTTAAATCTTTTTACTTTGTATTTCTCGCTAAAGATTAAGTGTTTGATTTAATCTTTAATATCTTAAGGACCTCGTGTATTGCTTGCAAGGTGTCTCAAGCGCTCTTAGAACCAAAATTAAATCATCTAAGTGCCTTTATTGGTTTATTTCGAAATAGTGATCTTATTCCAGAATAAGTTATTCTTAAGTAAGCCTACCTTATTTCCAAGTATCTTCTCTTTTGCCCATTCAAAAATAACCTGTTTCGAAATAGCAACCTTATTTCAAAATAGTGATATGATATTCATAAGCTTATATGCGTTGAGTCTTTCTGAAGTTTCACTTATTTAGGAATAGTCTGGTCAGGAATGGCTTATTTGGGAATAGCTCTTCTTATTCCCAAATAAAGTCTTTCAGATCAATGTCTCGTAACTCTCTTTCAATACATGCTATTTACTTCAAAATAAGCTCTCTGTATTTTCATTTAGTTTGTTCTTTGTTATTCCTAAATAACCTCGCCTATTCCAAAATAAACACACTCATTCCTACTCTATTTTGTGCGAAAAAAACAAGGGTTCTTTATAACGTCTTCTAAACTATTTCCTTTCACGTTTTGTGTGTCATATTGATCATATAATATTTCAAGAATCATTCTATGCGTTCTTGGGATGAGTTGAGTTTAGATTGATCTTACCCATAAAATCCTTATTCCTAAATATTTTACGGTACCTTTCTATCATTTATCTGTTCAGGAGGAATTTTTGTGTCATTCTTCCTATAAAGTAACTTCCACACTTTATGTGATTGCAATTTTTTTTTTTTTACACACCTGTCATCCTATTAGAGAACAGTTTAGCATATTACCAGAAACTACTTTTTTTTTTTTTTGCTAGATCCAACTTTTATGGATAAAAATGCAATATTTACATATTATGATTTCTAAATAATATGGTTTACTGTTCAACTTTTGTGTGACAAAAAAAAACTAATAAAAATATAGATGAACTAAATCCTTACACACTTTTGGTTTGTGTAATTTTAATTTATTAACATTTGTGAAATCTCATGAAATATCTTTTATGGAGGTAGGGTATGAAGAAACTTAAAAAACAGAAACAAAAATGAAAGTGAAGAGATGAAAGAAATTATGAGAGAAGAAAATTTGAAGGAAATAAAAAATGCTCTGTATATATCTGATATCAAGACAAAAAACAAAGGTCATCAAAACAACTTTAGAAATTGATATTAATAAAATTGGTCTGTTTTGCTAAAAAAAAAAAGACTTTAGAAATATATATATATATATATATATCTAAAGAATCTTTTGCATAAAAAAATCTTGGACATGCTTTCTGGATGTACTGTCATGCCAAAAACTAAAAGCTTATCTTCCAAGTAATGTCACGTACACCTTAACCATCTAGATTCACGTTGTGGCCATTGAAGCATTTCTATTTTTTTTTTTTTTAGAGCTAACATATCAGACTATTTTGGTTGCTATAGTAAGGACTTTGGATACGCTTTTGCTATAATGTATCACCAAATAATAAAAGAAAGCCATAAGTCTTGACTATGAAGACAAAGAAAAGAAAGAGGAAGAAATGGAGATGCAGAAACTTACAAGGACTGGAGGTGGAAGAAACAATGCCTGGATGCCAGGAAGATTGAAGAATGAGAGAGCAAGAACAAAACTTTTTTCACTTGCCTCAGATGCCTGCAAAGATCTCAAAGCCGAGACAGTGAAGACTTAGAACACTTATCATGGTGAACAAGCCTGACATATATAAAAGGAAGAATTACTGTAAAGTCACACATAAATATGAGAATACAATAAAATTCCACGAAATACCAAAATTCCAAGACCCTTTAATGTAAATATATTTTTATCCTCAGTTACCAAAATGACATCATATTATTATATTATATCATAGTAGCATTTACTCCCCATGCATTGCACAGAAGCCTATATTTTTTGATGTTATAATAAAGCATATTATATTACTTTTATATTTAAAAATAATTAAAAGTTTCATATATATGAAAGAAATTGGTGTAGTCAATGCAATTTTGATGTTTGAGACCCATAAAGATGAAATCAAGCTTATAAGTTATATGACTAAAACATATGTAATCCAATTTGAATAGCAAACAGAAATAACGCACATCATTTGTAAATATGGCCCATGTTTGTTTAATATGCATGATGAATGAAGATACCCAATTTAAGGCTTACACTTAATTGGTTTAATTCATTCTACATGGTTCCAACATGGGTAAGAATTTTATATCCTATAATGTACAAGAAACGTTCATGATAATATTTAACATGATAAATCAATTATATCATGTCATAAACAATTTTCCCAATACAGTGTCAAACAATATCCAATAGCATTAACTACTTTTAAAAAAATTTATCGATCAAGATGACCTGTTGAATAATTAAATTGGATAAGACCAAGAAAAGATTCAAATCATTCTAACTACATGAGGTTCGATCGATGGCCAAGTTGCATGATAACACTTGCATAAATTCCTATTTCCTAGTGACACTGCCACCTAACTTTTATAGGATCATTGAACACAACAGCATCGTTTACAAAGCTTTTTGCTTTACTAATCTGTGCACAATTTAGGCATAATTGCTTTTGACATTCATCAATGTGAACATGAGAGTATGAGCAATTATTTAACCCCCAAATTGTCACCCTACTTGTCCACCACACTTGCATCTTGTGCACGGGAAAGTGTACTTAACAAAAAAATAACAACAAAATAAAATCACATGTGTTCCACACACGCTTTCTTATCACCCATATATGTGAAAATTGTACAAAAAAAAAATGCATAATGTTGAAGGGTCCTCATCTTGCCATCCTATTTCCTTCTGAAGCTCTTATTTAAGAGCAAGAAGCTCCCTGTCAGCCATTTTCTACAATTATTTCAGTGCATCCTGCCACTCAAAAACTTTGAATTATTTTTAATACGTATAACAAAGTAACTATTGACCATTATGTTTTTCCTATGCATAATGAACATGAATTAAAAAATTCAGATGACAAATTATAGTTCTTTCAAGTGCAAAAGTTAGATAAACTCAATAAACATAAGCCATAAGTAAAACTTACTGAAATCTGTAAGATGTATATATTTAAGCTTAAATCCACCTAAAATACATACATGTTTTGTTCATATTTCCTCAAGGAAAAAAAGTGAAGAGAAACGTGTATTTACTGATCAAGTTATGTAATGATCAAATACATACATATTTTGTTCATATTTCCTTCTGGGAAAAATAGTGAAGAGAAACATATCTACATAGTGATCAGGTGAAGAGAAATCTATATGACGTATATGCTTAATCTTAATGAGTCTATCCCAAATACACATGCATTTTGTGCATATAAAACACTTGGAATGAGAAGTAAATGATAATAGCTAGACCCTTAAAACTTGATATCTTTGGTAAGAGGTGTAATATAAGGTAGCAAAATGAAATGCCTAATCAATAATCACAGACATATGCAACCTGAGAAGAATAATATCTCTCTACTCTATATATATATATATATCATTCTTATGACAGAAATAACTATGAGTAATTACAAGTTCTATTCTCAAAGATACAGGCATACCCTTTGGTGTCTACAATCTTACAAGCTACTCTATAATAACCCCTTATTCACCCACTGAGGTAGGAAGATACATGCGTATTCCACAAGCCAGGTGATCATCATTCCCAAGTTTATGTGTGCCTCTCCAAATCGTAAAAAAAGTTTTTCAGGTTACATCGCCAACTATTCCTCAAGATGCAAACAAATAATACACACACACAGGGAAATCATCATCCAAAATGATGCCAGGGAAAGATTGGCATTCATCCATGCAATGTAATTGGGAAAGCAGGGGAATAAAACCTGGTCTGCTACATGACTTGCAGCTTCTGAGTATGTTCTGCAATCTTCTTGAGCTTTGCTGCAATGTAATTGGGGAATAAAACTTAGCCGGTACTACAAGGCTATAAATATATAAACATCCATTGATTATTTAACCAAAATAATTAATGGTCTCCCTTTCAAAATTTAGACCCTTATTTTTAAATATCATCAAGAGTCATTAACATTTATCATCATATTAGAAAAATTCTTACAAATACCACTGCCTTGCCCTTTCAAACACTTCTGACCAACCCTGAGAACATTCTTGACCTCCCCCTAAAGAACCAAGAAACCATGCTAAGCATAAATTGAGAAGATACAATAACTAATGCCAAGCATAAATAAATAATGCGGAAGATACACCCTTTCTCATCATAGCATGATACAGAGAGACCACTTACCTCTATGATGGGAAAGATACAATAACTAATGCGAAGCCATCAAATGATTTGAGAGATAACCATATGAAGAATAGTAAGAGAAGCACAAGAAACCAGAAGATATGGCTTACAGTTTGAAGTCCCTTTCTTTGCAATTTGGGTCTCCACTGACCGTCTCTCTCTGCTCCACATCTTCCTTCATGCCAACTCTCTTTTTTTTTTTTTAACTAGATTTTACTACCCATGCGATGCATAGGGAGATTATAACTAACAGTTTATTAAATTATGAATAAAATCTAAGGAAGAACTAAAAGACAATGAAACCACAATTATCAAGCATAAAACCATAAAAAAAAAAAAAAAAACTTGCAGGAGATATGGCCATAGCAAAAATTATGTACAGACTAACTTATAATATTATTGGATGCAATTAAGACTTCTGGAGCAAATATGTTTAGCCTACCCAAAAAAAAAAAAAAAAAACAAAAAACCTCAGATGAATGATATTACAATATTACTTTCATATTTAAGAACGGATCCCCTCATCTCATCCCTTTGCCTTCTATGGACCAAAAGTACCTCTTCAATTTAATAAAAAATAAAAATCTCCATAGGCTCCAAAACAAACATTATTCAAGCATTTACTCCTCATGTACTGCATGAAAAGGTTAGACTTACATAATGATCAAATATTTATTATAATTAATAATAAAATTGTGTTTTAAGAGTTGTAGGACAACAAAACTTGACAACTTCATCTTAATTAAGCCAAGATTCATACTCTAGAAAACCTTTATACAAGAATTAGAATCAGTCTTGTAACAATTAATTGATTTTCCCATCACATTCCCTTTGATCTTTGATGAGGTGTAATTTTTCCTATATAATCAAATCTATAAAAGCCACATTATTTGCTCAATCTCTCATTGGTAGGAGAGTTGAGTGAACTTAGATGTATATGATGTGCAATAGCTAAATACTCTCTCACAATCACTTGCTTTTCACATCTAGACAAAAATACTCTTTTGATATCTTTTTTTTATATTTTTCTTAGATACATGGCCAAGACTTTACTACCCGTGCAAGAAGATTAAAAAAAAAAAAGTGTAATTTATTAAGTATAAAGTTATTTATTTTCAAATTCAACTTACAAATAAAAAAAGTTTTTTAAGACTTCAACCATTACACTAAATGTTAGGTATGACCATGCATTTTAAAATATCCTGAAAAAACAAATAAAGAATCAGGCAAAAAATACTGCAAGCTTATGCCATAATAGGAAAGAGTGTATATACAAATCTAACATAAAAACAAAATTCTTTTATATTAATATATCATATAATAAGGTCTTGACTATAAAGTAAGGAAACAACAATACCTTTAGAACTGCCTTGAAAAGTGTGCATTGCTACATACCAACATATGATAGTCTATTGACAAATTATGCATTATAGCCTACGGCACACAATTCATAGCAAGTTATGAATTTCTATGTATATGTTAAGCACAAATTTCACACAATGGATATATATATATATATATATTTATATATTTAACTTGGAAATCAGAAAGTAATCATTCCAAGTTTATAATTAATTCCTTTCATGATTAGTTCAATCGATGTACGCATCTTGAACTGTTGGTTTATATATGTTGTTAACTTTAGAAGCTTAACTTCATATAAGCATGAAGTAGAAAACACAGTGACATTAATAAAAAGAAAAGAAAAAAGAAAAAAGAAAACAGTGACATTAAGATCATGCTTGGTTATGGCCATTGAGATTCCAATTGCATTCTCCAATGCCTAAACAAAAGGCTGGCACCAATTCTTTGAATTGCTAGTTTACCTTAAACTTAAACATATTTCAATTCAGAAAAAGTAAATCTACACTTTCAATGATATGGCAGCAAAAGAGTAATTAAACTGATAAAAGAACATCACAGGAATAGCAGTATAATACTTATAGGAATGCTAATGATAAATGGCAGCAAAAGTGTAACTAATCATCTGTAATATTTATTTATATTGCAATATTAATTGTAAAATATTTAAATGCAAATGTTATATGGAAACAGGTGAAGGAAAATAGATTAAAGTGAGGTCTAAAATGTGGCTGACTGAACAAAAATCACTGAAGTAACATTGAAATGAGCAAGAGTACAGCCATACACAAAAAGATTAGCTTCCCGTCATAAATGATGTACCTAGAGTTGTTGCAAAATCCCAACAAAGAGGGAAAAAACCAAAATCTAACTTTATCCGTGATGAGTAAATTTTGGACTACAAACTGTAATAAGCACGTGACTATAAACCAAAATCAAGGCTAGAATCATTGCAGAGTTCCTTCCTATACAAACCAAAATCCCACTCTTTGTCTCTTTTCCAAATAGCTACAGCACATAGTATCCCTTGTGTGTTAAATTGACAGAAAAATTTAATCACTAATTGCCACATATAGATCATATTAAAAGGCAAGGACTTTTATAATAAAGCAAACTATTCAATTTTATAATAGTGGAAATTGGAGTCTGCCAAAACTCTTGCACCTAAGAGGAAAATAACAGAAATTATAGAGAAAGAAAAAGTGAGTTTTCTCTTTTTTTTTTTAATGAGTACCTCATGCCAATTTTTGAATGAAAATTTATCATTTAAATTTCTTTATATCTCTGGTCAGACTTCGCATGCTCTTTTCGTCTGAAAAGTCACTCTCTCTCTCTCTCTCTCTCTCTCAGCATTTGCATCTCTGAGCTAATGTACATTGACAAAGAAGGTCAGTTATTTTTTATTGAACAAAATGCAGTGATTTAACCTGGAAAAAAACACTTTGGAGTTAAATATAACACACTTTCAGAAGATTTCATATCATTTCAAAATTTGGTCCCAAAAAACTCGTACAGCAAAAGCAAAATTTGTTTAAGACATCCCTGCATATTCAACAACACATTTAGGTCTCTATTCACAGGGGAATATTGAGCTATTAAGATCATGTTCATCTCTAACAACACACGTGATTCTATGTCTCCTAAAGAAGAGCCTTTCATAAACCAAAATCATAAAGGGAAGGACCAATTTGCCATAAATAAAGTTAATGAGACTGAAGTTCATAACTCTAAAAAGAAATAAATAAAAAAAGAGGAGAATATTGGGAAGCTTGGTAAAATTAATAATACTTTGGAATAAAATAACCATAGAAAACTCATGCTTTCAAATAGGGAACATGCTACCACTGGATAGATTACCAAGGTTCTAATTTGTACAGAAAATCCCTTAATTTTTAGCTACATTAGTGTACTTGCATTTTATTTAATTCATTACTCCAAAACTTGTTTTAATAATTATTATTCTCAAGAGGCAACAGTAGAAACAGAGCATATAATCAATTGCAGAAGGCAATAAATGTCTCACGTGGATATGGAGGCTAATACCAAGACTTCAAAGATATGGAAATCATTATACACAGAAAGGTCAATTTGCAAAATTGGACTTCCCAAAATGCTGAAAAAAATGCAATCATGGCAAATGAAAGAGTTATAGGGATATTAAGGGCCAATCAATGAAAGGTCAATCCAACTAAATTTGCATCGTTGTGAACTCATTAAATGTCTTTCAGTATTTGACTTTTTGTTGGCTAGGATCATCATTTCAAGGACTTCCAGGATTTTCTCATTTTTTAGCAAGATACCGTTGGTGTTGAAGGGATGCTTATATTTCTACTCAATGGACCCCAACAATGCTCAATCATATAATAAAGACCCTATTGGTGATACTGATAATGGATACCCCACGCTTAAAATAGTGGTCATTGGCAAAGAACGAACAAAGTATGTATGGGAAATTATACCTTGAAAATCACAACAGCAAACCCATTTTTGTTATGACATCTACAAAGAAAAATAATCAAGAAAGGACATCATAATGTAAGAAACTCAAATCTACTGAACATATAACATTTTCAGGATAATATGCTACCATTGAAGTTTGAACACTCAAAAAGAAAAGAAGCAAAAGGAAAAAAAAAAAACAAAAGAAACAAAGAGAAAATACTAATCTTGAAAAGGATATGATTTTAGTATGGTCTCAAATCAAGCTTAAAAGCCAAGAAAGTAAAATAACTTGCTAGAGAACCCAAAGATGTAGATGTTATCAGGCATCCTTCCAAATTCAACATATAAAGCTTTTGTAATTCTAAAATGAATCAAGGCATCATTAAAATGGAAGAAAGACAAATGGATGTAAAAAAAATTCTGGTTAATACCTTCTAGGAAAGCCACTCACCTTGAGACAATGGAAGAAAAGGCGAACTAAAACTGCCGACCAACAAAGACATATAAATTAACTATGCGAACTGAATCTACTGATCAACAAGGATGAAGAGCTTTCAACTATCTTGGCTATAGAACGGAGGAAAATAAATAAAAAATGAGGGGCTTTCAACTATCCCTACTGCTGGCAAGAAATAAATAATGAATCAAAACTTTTCTACGAGATACTGTTGTCTGTAGTTTAAACCCAAAAAATAATGAATCAGCAGAGGCAGGGATAATACATCAAACAAAATAAATCAAACAAAACAAATCAAAAGGCACCTGCCTTGAAACAAAAAAAAAAAATTCAAATGGAAATTGAAGGGAAAATGCAATAGCTAGGACGGAGGAGTAATCACTGGTAGAGACGTAATGAACGTTGAGATTGTTCTAGAAATGTATTTCATTTGCTTCCTTGAATTTTTCCATCTACTCATTCTAACTGATTCATCCGTGGAGGAGAAGAAAATTGCAAAGAAGAAGAAATCAATCAACACGGGCGAGACAATGACGAAAAAAGAAAATGCACACCTTTGCAATTCGTCAGCTGAGATAACTCCACAAGGGTTGCTCAGGCGTCGGAGAAGAAGACTCCGCCATATTTTCTCCGATGACCAGATACTAAGATCTGGCGGTGGCGCAACTAAGATGGAGAATGAAGAGCTTGGGGTTCCAGAAATTTCAGAGAATAGAGAGGAGGGAAAGAAGCGATAGACAAAGACAAAGGAGGGAAAGGAACGGATTAAAGAAGCGAGAAGAGCAGAGACGGAAAACATAACATAATTTTTGGTTAATAATAAAAAAGAAAAGCGTGCAATAAATATGATTTATTAACTCTCTCACACTTATTTTTACAATTCGAGCAAAATTAAAATAAAAAATAACTCTTAAAATTTTAGAGTAAAAAAAAAATAACTTGTTAAAGAGTAATCAAGTTAAAAGTTTAGAAAACTTTTTACAAAAACAAAAGCAAATCATTAAAATACCTTATCAATCACAAACAAACCATTAAAAAGATGCAATTTCTTAAAGAAAGCCTCACAAGAATAATATATGCACTCAAGCACTCAAGCGTTTAAAGTTTAATCATTTCACTCAAAGTCTTTAGTAAAAATGTCTTACCATAAGCTTATAATCCCTCTATCTCTCCACTAGTAATATGCAAGTGTTCTAAAGAATCAAATAAACTTTAATGGAATGTAATGTGATTGCGAAATGGATTCTTAAATTTGCATTTGAAAGCTAGAATTTGGCTTAAGGAATTAAATATTGGCCACGATGTAAATATGCAATAACACTCAAATCTTTTTAAGACTTTACTAAATGGATGCAAAGTGAAAAATGTATGAAAATATAAGTGAAATGGATGTGAAAAGCAAAGAATAAAATATGTGACTTGTAGCCTAAGTATTAATCTTTTTTATTTAAATTCTTTCTTTTCTTTTCTTTTTCTTTTTCTTTTTTCTTTTCAGTTTTCTCATCATTCATTTTTTTCTTTCTTTCTTCTTCCTTCTTTGTTTTTTCTTCTTTTATTTTTCACATTCCAAGTCATCTCGAGTATCAAGTAATAAAAGAATAATGCACTTGTTCTTTGAATGAAACGGAATGATGGAAGAATGAAAATGAAAAAATGAGTTATATCCACTAAGTTAAGCCAAAGAAAGATGAGAATGTTGAAACACACTTTGAAAACAATACATACAATTCATGATAAGATAGTGATAGTGTTTAAGAAATGAAGAAAATAAACAAAAGACTCAAAGGGCTAACAAAAATGTTGATCAATCTATTAAGGTTAGGCTTTTAAGTCTCTTGACTATTTTTAATGAATGCCATTATCATCTTCCCCACAACAAATGTAATAATGCAGCCTTGATTAAGAGGGAAAAAAGTTTTAGAAGGCATAAATGCTAAAGACAAACTGTACAAAAGCATTTAGGCTTCTTCCAACTAGGGTTTTTGCCTCTCTAATCAATTACACACAATCTAAAAGAAAGCTTGTTTAAGAAAGTAAAACAACTAAGGTAACATTATTTCAAGAGTTTAAGTTTCAAAAATCCAAAACAAGTTTTTCAAATAATCCAAGACAAAACAAAACAATTTTTTTATAATTTTTCAAATTGTTTAAAGGAAAAATTAAAATATTTTTGTTTCCCTCTACACTTAAATCATGCATTGTCCTCAATGTATGCATTTATATGTCCTTAGACAATGTTGTCACAAAAGAATGCATGAAAAATCTAAGAGGCAAAATTTTTATGAATGTAAGACTCAACAAGCCAAGACTTAAGACTAAAGAACAACACCAAACCGAAACCAAACACCCGATTCAAGAATAAAAAAACCCATTTATTTTGAAAAAGAAATAAAGAAAACAAACCTAATTCTAAATCTAATGAAAAGGTCATGTAACTCTCTCATATATCTGTCTCATATAGGAAAAGATTAACTTAAACACCACACTAGAAATACCAAACAATAATCAATTACTTTATTTGAAAAGTTTGGGTTCAAGACTTAATTTGCAAAACCATCGAAAACTTAGCATATCAGAGCAATACGCAGTGAAAATAAATCATATACACTCATATCAATCATTACATGCATTTTAAATAAAGAAAATAGGTTAGATCACAAGTCATGAGTTGTGATGGGTAATACATGTACTGCGGCATATAACATAGAGCCACATACCTTAACCTTTTCTATACCATGTACCATGGCATGATATGTCATGCGCTGTGACACACATGCCTAATTCTGTAGCTATATTTGACAACTTAAATAACAAATTTCTAGCGTGTGTCATTTCCACATATAACGTCTGATCTGAGTGATTCAAACGCCCACACGAAGCTTAACTCATAAGCTAACTAATGAGATAGGTTTGGATGTAATCTTATGGTCTGATCATAATTTGGATACCTGGGGTATAAAAAGTCACTTTTTTTGAAAATTTCGCTCACCTAAGCACTCAAATCAATTCTATTATCTAATTAGACGATTCTATACCTTAAATCAAGTCTTAAAAGGACCTAATAACTATAATATATCACATATATACACACGTATCCAAATTTAGCTATTTAATAGCCCATTGTCACATTTCACAATTTAATACAAATTGACTTGTTTGGCCATTTTCACTACAATATCACAAGAAAATCACACCTTTGCACATTCACCAATGTTCACCACTAAATCTTAGCTCATACAATTTATTAAACACCACGTATTTTTGCATATAGGCTAAGATACACAAAATTACTATGATTTTCCCATAATTCACAATTCAAAGCATGCATGTATTCTCTATGGCAACTTATATACATAATATTCATATTAGACTAGTTCATTATACAAACTCAGAGCTTTCATAGCTATAGCACTACTACGCTAGTCCAGACTCTTTTCCTATGCCCGAATTACTGCTTTGTCCTATAAAATGCAACTACGAGGGTGAGATAATAATTTTAATAACAAAATAACTTTTTACTATCGACTATCACATACAACTATGAAAAAGTATAGCATTATATAAAATTAAACATAGCATATAACATATGTTCACTTCAATTTTCATCTATATAATTCATTTAACTTCTTTTATCACTACATTCACCCTAGTTCACCACTTTTTGCCACTTTTATTACATATAGCATGATCACTACATACTGAACCTTTAAATCACCCTAACTTGAAATCATAAGCTCGTCTTAGACTAATATACACTCTCATTGGCCTTGAGCTCACCTTGAGTAGTAGAATCACCCAGCTAAAGGTATTCTATCTCACTCCTGGATTATGGTTTTTCCAATACACACAATGTAGTGTCGTTGACTCTAACTCTGTATCACATTGATACTAAGGAGTTCGAATCTCCAACACCACACCTCAATAGATACTAAGGAGATAATCTCCAATATTGCACCTTGAAAGGCATTAAGGAGATACAATTCTCTAACACCACACCCTATTGAGCACTAAGAAAAATGATGCTATATGGTCTTATCACTATATCTCTACATAAGTTAACTCACACCCCTATGATCATGCTTTCTACATATGCCACCCTTTCCTCTTTTTAAATCCACACACACACACTCTCTCTCTCTCTAAACATGCAATTTCCATAAATTTGATTGGCAGAAATCATTTCCATGCAATAGACACATAATACTACAAAACATGCTCAGTTTAAAACAATTTCATGCACTATATAGCACATTTCCACACAGTTACAACAAATAGTCAAATAGAGAAAGTTATTTGGTTACTTCAATCCTTCTGTCACAAGAAAGGTTACCTGTGGTACTTTCTCAATCGCTACTCGTCTTTACATGCCTCTTTTCTCACTCTACTCACAAGATATGCCAATCTACACATAATTGGCACAATTAATCAATTGATTCAATTGACCAAAAACACTTATATACTACTTTAAGCCACAACTAGCCATTCATTCACTTTTGCTCATCCATTCTAAGTTAGTTACCACTCAATTACTACTTTACATCACTTCAAATGATTTCATCCTAATTTTACACCATTTTCACCCCCAAACTCTCATTGAATTAGAGCCAAATTGATCTTACGGGTTCAAAACTCTATCGTTCAACTCTAAACCAATTACAAAGCTCTAATTTAACTCTCAAGAACCTTTTTATTACTATAGGGTAAGAAACAAACTCTTTAAATCTCATCGATTCCATTTCTCTATAACTCATACCAAAAGAAATTGTAGTAGAATTAAAGGTAAGAGTTATATAAAGCTTACCTAATAAGCTACTAATCAAAAGTGCCTTCCAATGCTCCGGAAATGCTTATGCTAGCTGCCAAACCTTTCTTTTCTTCTCCCTTTCATGTTTGTTTATTTCTCCTTCTAAAAGTCACCCTAATTCATGATTTAAGAAGTCACTTTCTAGTCCATGTGCCATGGCATAGGCAGCATTAGCCACAATGCATGGCACAATGAGGAGAATTCTCATTGCGCGCACAACCTTTGCTTTGGGACTAGTTCCTTCACCCGTATATGCTCATTCAATATCCTAAGGAGTCAAATTATCAAAGAACCATGCAAACTTCTAATCATTTACTAACTACTAATTCACCCTTGATTAATAGCTAATCATAAGATTATAAAAATCAGGATGTTACAGGTCATATCTTCCCTATACTTAAACCTCAAAATGGATACCACAAAGCACAATCACAAGAAAAAATCAAGTGATCCATATGTGTGCACAAGTGTTAGCAAGCATAAACTAGAAAGTGCTCAACATATGTGTTAGGTGAACAATCAAAGCAAATAAAGGGTGTGAGTTAGAGATATACAACCTTAAAGCCAATCATAAAGGCTCAAAATAGAAGTTGGAATGTCTAATGAGAAACTTGTGCCCCTTCGAAAAGCTTGAATGATAGAATCCTCCTTTGATTCCATCCAAAGGCTTAGGCTCCATTAGCAAAGGTCCTAAAGGATAAGAAATAAAATAAAGATCATGCACAAGAGAAGAATTAGATAAACCAATACAATCATGTAAATCATTTAATAAAAGATCTAATGCACTATCAATAAAATTCAAATTAAATGACTTGTTTTCTTTAGCTAGTACAAAATCATATGAAATGATTTCCTTAGAAAAATTAAGAACAAGCTCTTCATTTGTGTGAAGTAAATCTTGAACTTGTTGCTCTCTTTCTTGATTAGCCACAACCTCTTCCTCTTCAATAACAATTTCTCC